TTGTCATTCTGTTCAGGGGTGTTCCATTGATGACGATGTCACCATTTTTGATTGGAACCATCATCTGATAACTCGCGAGTGGCTTTGGACGGGAATCACTCGGGCAAGGGATTTAAACAGAGTAAAATTTTACAAATACAGTAGTGATTTAAATGAAGAGTTTAACGCAAAATGCATTATGAATTATTTTGATAGAAAGGTGTTAGCATACAAGGAACAGGATCGTAAAAATGGCTTTGGTATTCCAAAAGAAAATTATGTAGATGCCGAATGGTTGAAGGACGACGTCAATGGAAAGTGTGCAAATTGTGGCTGTGGCTTTGTGTTGTCCATGGATTCTGGTAATATAAATTCCAATCTGACTTGTCAAAGGTTATGTAATGATCTTCCCCATACAAAGGATAATGTCATTGCCTTCTGTGCTTCTTGTAATAGATGCTTCAGTGATAAAATAACATATTGATATTTATTTTATAGTGTTATTTATATGAGCGATAAAGACAAGATTATCAGTGATATTTATTTTGACCGGGCTGGGTTCGGTAGCGTTGCCACCACTTATAAAGATGCCAAACAGAAAGATGCAACAATCACAATGCAAGATGTTAAGGAGTGGTTTCAAGAGAACGTGGAACGGAAAAAACAACTGTCTGGATACAATTCGTTTATTGCCCCTGATATCAACTTTGAATATCAATTGGATCTATTTTTATATCAAAAAATGATTTAGACAATCAAACATATAGGATAGGCTTATTGCTTGTTGATGTATTTTCCCGCAAAGCCGTGGTGGTGCCCATTGCATCCAAGCAACCTGCGGACATCACCGCTGGGATCATGGAGGGTTTAAACAAAATGGGAGGGAAGCCCAAGCTTATTTATTCTGATGACGAGGGCAGTCTCAATACCCAAGATCTTGTTGATTTTTCAAGGACGAAGGGATCCAAAACTATAAAACACGAGGACACCCCCATTTCGCCGAGCGTTTCATTCGCACGTTCAAGGACATGCTTTTCAAGAGGGTTGATGCAGACGAGAAAAAGGGAAAGGTTAATATACAATGGGTTGATTATATCCCCGAGATCATGCTGACATATAACAGTAAAATGGTCCATTCTGCACATGGCATGACTCCGCATGACGCCCACAAAAAGGGAAACCATCTTGAGGTCAAGATGAAGCTTGAGATGAACAGAATGAAAACCCGTAAATATCCCCCTGTTAGGGTTGGCGATGAGGTCAAAATATATCGTAAGAAGGGGATTTCCGAGAAGGAGAGAACGAGCAACTGGAGCAGTGTCAAACACAAGGTTTCAAGGGTTGAAAAGAAGTTGGGTCAAGAATATTATTCTGTTGAAGGGATGAACCGCCCCTATTTGAGGTCAGAGATTTTGAAGGTTTGAGAGATCCTTGAACCATTGAATTGGTGCCTGGTTGTCCTCGAAGGGATGCAAGGTTTTCTTGCAGAGGTGCAAGGTTTTCTTGCAGGCGTGCAAGGTGTTTCTTGCAGGGGTGCAAGGTTTTCCTTGCAGGGGTGCAAGGTTTTCCTTGCAAGGGTGAAGGGTTGGCTGGCACTCTGGTTCAAAGTATCACAGCGCTCTTGCTTCATTGATATACGGCCATGTTCTTAGCAACCCTTGGCACCTTGATCCCACCCACATTCTGCCATTTGATGTTTTAGGGTAAAGGACTGGGACTACTCCAGGTTTGGATTAACGCTTGCAATCCCTGTTCCTTTGCCAATACCACGAATTCTATACTGCACAGGTTGGGGTTGTGGTTTTCGTCTCAATGTGTTGCATGTTTGGACGGCTGGCTCAAGCTAGAGCAATGCAGATGTTTTCATGCAGGAACTCAGGAACACACCTTGCAAAGACACAATTGCTTGCTTTGTTTGAAGTGCCTTGGCTGTATGCAATGGCTGAAGAGCCTCTGCCAAAGAAGCAGAAGCTAACTCATCAGTGGCTAACAGATCAACTGAATGACTTTGATGAAGGTGTGAAACAGAGTGTGCTCAACCACCTTGCCAACTTCAGTGAAGATGACCTGAAGGAAGCTCCGGTTGCATCCTTGATCGAGATCCTTCCAGCAGAGCTGACTCTAGTGGCAAAGCAGAGAGTAGCCTTGCGCTTGGAGAAGGGGATTCGGAAAACCTTCCAGCCACCACAACACGCCCCTTGGCTTTAACATAATCAATATGTTTGTGTCACTCCCTTTCCAGGATTGGTTGTTTCGTTCCTCTCTGGTTCTTAGGTATGTTTGCTTGAGTGGGTCATTTGTTTGTGTTTGGGGTGGTTGCTTGTTCCTTGTTTTGTTGTTTTGCTTTCACTGCACTGCTCAGGACACTGGATATCAAGATGAACTTTGCAATTGGCTGGATGAGGCTGTGTCCAAGACACCGAAGCCCAGCAACTGGGAAGCTGACACCGTGCAGGAGTTTGCGCACAATATTCTGGGAAAGAGGGACATGAAAAAAAGGCTGGTTCTGCGAAAGTGTTACATGGACATGTGTAGCCTTGTCCACAAATGGTTGCTTCACAATTTCTCCCAAGAGGACATGGGCGTTTTCGTCATTACAGGCACTCCCGGCATTGGGAAATCCGTTTTTCTGGCTTATGTGGCAAGTCGTTTGGCTGAAGAGGGCATCAACATCGTCATCCAGCTGGGCAAAAGATGGTGGTCGCGCATTTCAGGGCAGACCATCACGCACAATGACACATGGCTGGTCAAACTCCTTGACGACTCCAAAACTGTTCTATTGGCAGACCCAGTTGGCGGTGAGAACTCCCAGCCTGTTGACCCTCGCATGCGTGGTTGCACTATTATTTTCACCTCGCCACAGCAGAAGAACTACGACAGCGTTTGGAAACAGGCTGAAGGTCGTTCAGAGCGCTATTTCATGCCAGTGTGGTCGGAAGAGGAGGTGCTGAACCACTGGAAAGCTGGGGGCATACTGCAGGTTTGCAAGCAAGAAGCAGACGTGAAGATGGCATATGCCATGATTGGAGGGAGTGTGCCATACTTGGGCAAATTGCTGGTGGCAGTAGCCAAGAAGAAGACCACTCTGAAAGAGGAAGCAAAGCAGATGATTCGCGACTGCGTCGTGAACTGCAACTTTGAAGACTTGTGCCAGGCTGCTGACAGTGGCGGTGCAGACATGGATGCTCGGAACAACAGGAGCAAGATGAGTCGGGTGCTACACATCCATTCGGATGCCCAGTTTCAGACACCCAACGTGAAGTTGATTGAGTCCGAGGTTGTTCTCAACATTCTGTGTGACCAACTAGCAGAGAAGCAACGGAAAGCTCTTCCTGACCTTATCAAGGCAAGTTTGAATATTAGCCCTTTGGGCACTTTGTGCGGTCGGCTATTTCAGATGCATGTTGCCGAGGTTTGCAATTCCAAGAAGGTGGAGCTTGTTTGCACTGCATTGAAGAAGAAGGGCAAGAAAGCGTCAGCTGAAGTCAAAATGTGCATCCCGACGCTTCAGAAGATGCTCAAGAAGTTGGGTGACCAACCACCACCGAAGTCTTTGCCACAATTTGATGAGAGTTTCTTGTATTGTCCTGAATCTGAGACATTTCCAGCCGCTGATTTGTTCTTTGTTACCAAGGAGGGCAAGAACATCACGCTTTGGCTACTGCAGGTCACGAAGGCGAAAAGTCACGATTGCAAGATTGATGCTTCTTACAAGCAGTTCAACAACTATTTCCAACTGAATGGAGTCAAGAGCATCAAGTGGGTTGTAGTAGCTCCTGAAGGTGACATTTCAGATGGATATGCGTCGGAGCAGAAGGTTGTCGGCACATGGGGTGTTTCGGAGAAATGCAAGGTCAACGTTGAGCAGTATGTGAGTTCATGGAAGATATGATCTTGACTCGCTCAAGCGACCGAAATGCTGTGAAAAATGGTGGGGTGGGGGAGCGGCGGTGTTGGAAAAACGGATTTGCAATATGTTTGCAATCCCAGCGCCGGATTTTGCAGTTCCAACGGCTGTTTTTTGCGGTTCCAACGGCAATTTTTGCTGTTTCCGTGTCAGTTTCGGCAGTTTCTAGGGCGGTCTGTCTACTGAAGCCTTGTTCAATCCACATTTTGCCATCCATATTTACTGGGATTATTTTCAAGATTTGGGTTAACGGTTTCAATTCTCCCTTGTCTAATGGTTAACCACTTTTTGGGGCGAACATAGGCTTGTTTTTTAGACTGTTCGTATTTGTTGGAAATGGGAAAGGGTCTCAGGTTGGATCAAGGGAGAAATTATTGAGATCTTGGGGTTGCGATCTTGGGAATGAAAAAATGTTGGTATGTAGCTTGGATTTTTTTGGTGGGATTTGTTGAGGTGGTATGTAGTTATGATTGTTGTTATTGAATGAGTGTAAGGGTGATGTTGAGATGGGGTAAGAAATGAAGATGGGTATATGAATATGTGTTTTTTGGTGTTGGATTGGTTGGGTGATTGGATTTGAATGTTGAAAATAGGCTGTTTTAGTGGGCGTATTTGAATTGTGCCCAAAAGTGTGGGGGGGACCCTAGGACCGGATGGCAAAATGCGGACGGGAAAGCCCCTGTCTAACTTCATGTCCCTCAGAATCCTTGGTTTTTCAGTTTTTTTCAGTTTTTTCATTTTTTCAGTTTTTTTCAGTTGTGCAGAGAGTTTCTTGTCTGAATTGTATTGAGGAATTGCCAGAGAGTTTCCAGAAAGCTTATTTGAAAACTGAAAAAACAGCCTGACAACTGAGGGTTCTGGCAGATTCAGGTTTTTTGTCAGAAAACACAGTAAATACCAGTGTGTTCAGACCAAACCTGGGTTTTTTTTGAGGGGGGGGTACCATATATATATATATATATTATTGTATTATATTATATTATATTATGCATATCCATGTCTATATAATATGTCTATATACTTATATGTGTATACATATATATATATATATGTAAATATATGTATATATATATATGCATGTGCTCACCCCCGCACCTGCTGTCCCTGAGCCCAGGTTTTGCCGCCTGTCCAAGGGCCTTGAGACCTTCGCGCGCTTCGTGCCGGAGGCCGTGGTGCGGAACATCATCAAAGGCCGCCGCACGTGTCGCCGTCGAACCTTGGGCGCGCGTTTTTTCGGCTTTCGGCCGGGATGGGGGCTGGGGACTTCTGCTAGTCCCCCCCTTTTTTTGGGGGAGGGGTCCCCTACTAAAATAGACTACAGAAAAAAGGGCACCCTTATTCTAACCTCTCTACTGGAGGACCTAGTCTTAGTTGGTGATGTGTCTTGGGAAGAAACCGCTGCCATTTGGGGAAGCGATCGGAGATGTTGAGAAGCACCCTGGGCGCAAATTTGGGATCCAAATGACCTTTGCCGTGTTTTGAAGGTGTCCGACTTTATGTTGGTTGAAAAGGAACCCTCATGAATTGCAAGAACTTCATTGAAAGATGTGTAGTGAGGTTGCGTGAGGTTTCTTGAGGCCCCCCTGTGTTGAATTATGTTGACACATTCAATATGTGCGGGCGGTCCGGGCAAGCTTTGCTTGCTACGTTTGGCTGGTTTTCAGAGTGAAGATGTTTGTTGGTTGTTGGGCAACAGCAAGAAGCCATGTTTGATTGGTTGGCACGAAGAAACCGTATGTTTGCCTTGGTGGTGTTCGCATTGGTAGCCTGGCAAGCGAATTTACCGGGCGTGGATGTGGGCGAGTGGCAAGAAATTGGGAGGTTGACCTATTGGAAGTGTGCGCGCTTTTCAACAAGGCTGCAAAGAGTCAGTGATCACACATATGTGCACATACTAGCAGTATCAGTGCTATGGTTATTTTATTGTTTTGTTATTACTGTGTTGTTTAGAGTACATGTTGCATGTTTACTTTACAGCCTCCGGCTCAGTCCGCCGACATTGTCCTCTCCCTTTTCTCCTTCTTCCTCTCTCCCTTGTCTCCCTTGTGTGTTCTGTCGTCCTCTCTCCCTCCCTCTGCTCCCCATCCTCCCCATCCCCCCAAGCCTCTCTCTCCCCAATCTCCCTCTCTCGTATGTATGTATGCATGTTTATAGGTATGTAATGTATGTATGTATGTATGTATGTATGCATGTATGTATGTATGGTAATGTAATGTAATGTAATGTAATGTAATGTATGTATGTATGTATGTAATGTAATAATGTAATGTAATGTATGTATGTATGTATGTATGTATGTATGTATGTATGTATGTATGTATGTATGTATGTATGTATGTATGTAATGTATGTATGTATATATATATATATATATGTATATAATATAATATAATATAATATATGTATGTATGTATGTATATATGTATGTATGTATGTAATGTATGTATGTATGTATGTATGTATGTATGTATGTATGTATGTATGTATGTATGTATGTATGTATGTATGTATGTATGTATGTATGTATGTATGTATGTATGTATGTATGTATGTATGTATCCCGTTTTTCCTGCGTTTTCGCAATGAGAACGTCCAAAATCAGAGTTTTCCAGATTTTCGGCAACAGGAGGCAGGAAGCCCAAGCCAGCACAAAAACCCGGCAGGGGGAATCGAGCCTGGGACCCCTGTTTTGCGACACCGGCTCCCCGAAGACTACGTTTAGTGGAACGTCATCAAATTGCCGCGCGGTCGGAGGGGGAAGGGGGGGGGGTGGCGACCGAAACACCCTGCGTAATTGACGTGTCCCGCGGGGGGACTAAGGGGGGGGGTTATCCTCTCTCCTCTCTTAGGTATCCGACACGCCGAACAATGTCGGCGGATATATATATATATATATATACGTATGTCTTCTGTATATACATGTTTTGTACCCCCGGAAGGTTCCAAGAACACTTTAAAAAATGGGGATGGGGATGGGGGTGGGGCGGGGTTCCCTTTGGGCAGCCTTGGATCAGGTGATTGCCGCGCTTCTAGGCAAGGGGGGGCGACGGGCAACCGGTTGCGTGACGGACCGTGGCTCAGGGTTCCTCGCGTGACAGAGTAGAAAAAAGTCCAGCGCCACAATCAAACCCCGCATACTTGAAGGATAAGGACCAATCCCAGCCATAAATGGGTGCAGCCGCCGTCTTTGATTCTGCACATGACTCTGGGTATACCATTCCATTGCCGGATTTTGATTATGACTCAGCCGGCTTCTTTGGCTTACCTTTGCCACGCTGCCAGACTCAGCTCACCTTGCCCTTTTGCCCTTTTGCCCGGGTTTGGCTCCGTCAAGCGGATGGTCGGCGAGCATGTTAATGTTAGATAGCGATTGATAAAACGGGAGTGAATACAGAAAAAACATCTCAAAATTATTCACTCTCCTGAAAAGCAAAAAGGGTAGGTATTACAGAAAACAATCTGCCCGAAATCCCGAAAATATGTTCCCTTCCAAGAATGGACTATTTTTGAGGGTTGAAACGTTTGAGTCCAGCCAGAAATGTCCAGAATTTCTGGATTGCTTCCTGTCCCAAACCACCAAATTCCTTATCAATCCCTTTACTAGAAGATGCACCCTGACAAATTTTCAAGGGGGTGGCACACGGAACCCCCAGGAAGGCAATAATGCAGCTTGTTTAAGGGTAGGGAATTGTGAAAAAAATGGCCAGGGCAGCCTGCCAAGAAGAAGAACCAATACTAAGCCAATTCTAAACTGTAGTGAGTCAACTGAAAAGAATACTGAACTAATTCTAAACCAAGTCTAAACCGTAGTGAGCCAGCTCAAAGCAATACTAAACCAATACTAAACCAATTCTAAACAATACTTACTGGAAGACTACTCAGGCAGGTCCCAGTCTGACCCCCATTTTGTTTTTGGGGGTTCTCGCTATTGACCCCCCCAATTCGTTTGAGGGGGGGGCCTTTATTAATCACTCCCCAACATTACTTGCATTTGTAGAAATGGCTGGTGATTGCACAAATCCAGCCAGCCACATGTCCACGGGTTGTGTGTAGGGCTCACTTGGCCGACAGAAAGGTAGTGCATGGGCCACTTTGCCTAGAGAAAAGATGTCTTCATTTTCAGGAGATGCAATTTAATTTATCAACCCGGAAAACTATGTTTTTGAGGTCTGCAAATTCAGGCTCGCCACTGGGCAGGTTTCTCCTGGAACTCACGCCACTTACGTTCCACTTAGCCAGCGGATTGCAATCGACGTGGCTTCAAAAGCTATGGGACGCCTTGGACAGTGCATCTCCGACGACCAAGAAAGGATCCACTTGTGCAGAGACTTGTTGGGCATGTCTTTCAAATATTAACCGAGTTCTGTGTTCCCCAAACCTCGGTTCTTCAAAGCGAATCCACCTGATTTCGTCCCGGCCCCAGAAGGTGATCGGCTTTTTCTGGGTCCCTAAGGGGCTGGTATTTCAAGATCACCGGAGCTCCCACTTATGATCTACACCTCCTATTTCACAAAGTCGGACTGAGCAGTTTCAACCTTGGAGTTTGGAGCGGCGGCCTGGGCTCCGGGTTTGGAAAGCGGAAGCCGAGCGGGGCTTGCGGTGGGAAATTCCACCTGGGTGGTGTTTGATCCAATCCCACGTTGCCGCGGGATTTCTTGGTGTGGGTCAAAGAATCGCCCTGGTAGATAAAAACAAGTTGACTAAAGCCTACGATCCAAGTCCTGGTGGTGACTCATTTTGACCCACTGTCAGGCAAAGGCTCGCGGTGGTATCCTTGGGATTGGCAGTGTATCGGGTTTCATCCATCCCGATCAGCGTTGATCTTACGTCCATCAATATATATATATATATGTTCAGTTTGATAGACAGTTTATCCGAGTCAGACAGGTTCATCCATCCCAACTGCTGCGTTTCGTGGCTTCTGCCCACCCACAATGCTACACGTTTCAATTGCTCGCTTGTCGCCAGGCTTCATGTGACAAAGAGAGCCACTGTGTCGCATCGCTGGGGGAGGTGGTGGTTGATGTGGGTGTCAGATAAGGCACCTCTTGGGCGCTCACGAAAAGCAAGGCCAAGCCACTCATTTCGGGTACTGATTTTGTGGACTTGGTTTGGCGCTTGCGCCGTCGCGGCGCCTGGTTTGGCTGGCTTGAGTTTGACTGGCTTCTCAAGCTCCAGGCGCCTCAAAGTGTGTTCGAGGGCCAGGGAAACCACAAGGAAAAGCACATGTTGTGCCAAAGAGGGCTTGATGGGGTCCCTGCCACCCATCACATGCGAACGAATCAGGCCCATAAAGCAAGAAACATGTGGCGTCATGTTGGCCTATCGCGCGATGCTGTAGACGGAATCCTTCTTTTGAAAGAAGCACTCCTAGAAATATGAAGCTGCAAGGTTCATATGAAACCAGGGCCAACACTATGGATGGCCAAAATGCGGTTCATTGAAGACCAAGCCGCCAGTGTTGTTCGCCAAGGAGCTGGGCGTTTTGCAAATCTACTTTCACTGCCGTTGGTACCGTGTAATGTGTGTTTAGTTTATGGTATCTGATTTTCTCAGCTTCCAGCACCCCAACTGCTTTTTCGCATGTCCAACATCCCAAGTACTGTCCAAAAGCGGAGGTTGGGGGGTGCTGGTATGTTTCTGCTCATGTTTAGTAGTGGCAGCATGTTTCTCATGTTTGGGGCGGAGAACACACACATTTTGCCGACCGGGGCTGGGAAGCAAAGCCACCCCCGGATCTCTTTTTGGCGAGCCCAGGAAGTGAGCATCATGTTCTCTGACATCAAGGAGCCGACGCGTATCTTGGAAACCATGTTGCAGAAGTTGCTTGTTTGTACGGAAATGGACATCTTTGGTGAGTATTGTGCAAGTTTCCGGCAGACACTGTACGTACTGGTAGCTGCTTTCCAATGATTGCGCCAGTGGGTGGACAAGATCCACGCCAGGCACCAGTTGGATAGTCGGGCAACAGCTGTTTGCTCGGACATGACACGCACTGAATCCTTAAGAAGATGTTGTTATGTGTTCTTAGACGGTTAACACCAGTTGCAGGGAGATGTCGAAACCTCGGGTTGTGTATTTTCCTGGAGCTCTCCCCCTTTGTTACTCCTCTTTCGCTGGCGACAACAGTTGGTGGATTGCTGGATATTGGTGAGTGGTTGAACCCCGAACCACTGTTCCTGGTGGAGGACGTTGAACCCCGCTCCCCCTAACCCATCCAACTTCCCAGTCGGGCAGCAGAAAAAGAACCTAGGTCCCCCAGTAGTGCCCTTTCTCACCCTTTTTTGGGGGAGGGTTCCCCTACTAACATAGACTACAGAAAAAGAATCGGGTACCCTTATTCCAACCCCTCTACTGGAGGACATAGGATTGGAAGCCGATGCGGCAGGACTTCACCAGTTTGTCGGAGTCCCTGAAGCAGAACGACTTGATCTTCCTCCTCACGCGGTACTTGTCCATCATGTCACGGATCGTCGAGACCTTCGGAGGATTGCCACCGAATCGAATCGCGTGCTCGAATCGCTTCGGCTCTCCCGGAAGCAGGAAAGCGGATCGATCCGGTTGGGGCAAGTGGTTGGGCGGGCCAAGAAAGAAATCGTTTTTTGGCCGGCTTGGTGGCAAGTGCTGGATGACTGGAAGGACGCTTTTTTTTTTTTTGGTTTATTGACCCTGGCCAACAGCCTTTAAGAGATATGCCTGAATGCTTGCCTTGTTGCAGGCAATCCTCGTGAACTTTGTCAGAGAGTTTGCCTTACTCATATCGAAAACGTCAAACTGAAGTCAGGTTCACAATGCCTGTCCAGTTCAATTGACCTACAATCCTTTACCTGGCTTCTTCGAACTTACAAATTGCATCAGACTCCGCATGTTGGGAAATCACAGAACCGCTGCAATAAAGAGACCTGGTGTCAGCCCAAGCTTCATCCCAAGCCCTATGCTAACAACAATGGGTTTTGCAAGTTGCCACTAGATTTTCCAGGTCCATTGAGCATGTCACCGCTCAACATTATTTTCTCGTTGGTTTGAAGGAGCCTGAATCCAGAAGATTGAGGTCCTCAAACTTGCTTTCTAGTTAGTATTTCACTTGTAATTGGTGGTTTTTGGGTTGACACTGCCTCCAGAAGCATTGGTTAGCTTAGAGAAACTACCTCCAGCTAGGTCCTCCAGTAGGGCCCTTTTACCCTTTATCTCCAGGCCGCTGATTTGGAAACCCAACAAAACCGCTGCGCTGAGCTGCAGTTTGCTTTGCACTTTGCAGGCGTTGTGGCAGAGATCCTGGGTGACGGGCTCCTGGTCTATTGGAACACTCCCCTGGACGTGGAGGTGAGCGGATCTGCGCGAATCCGAAGAGGGCATTTTTTTCTCGGGTCTTCTTTTGTTTTTGTTCTTTTTGTCGGTTTGGTAGCCTTTGTCGGGGTCATGAAAAAAGAGCAACCAACGGGAAAACCAGCATCTTGAGGGTTGCCCTGTTTTGAAAACCAATTTATGCCAGAGTCGATACTGATCGCAGTGGATGTATTTCAATGATTTGCTTTCTCGGATTACTTTGTCGCGTTGTTCAGGCACTGGTCTTGGATCGCAGTTCTTGCTATCCGATCTACCCTTGCCATGGTTGACATGATCAGAAAGCTTCTTCGTCACAGCTTCGGATAGGGCTTGAAGGTTTATTTGGCTTTACACTTTGGGCCTGGCCTGCGGCCGCAACCTCCATTTTTCAGGGAGTACCAAATATGAGTAGCTTAAGTCAAAGAGCAGTCCTAGCTTCGGTCCCCTGAAAAGAACTCTCTTTGCTTCTTGGTGCTTGCCTCAGAAGCAATGTCCCTCCAATGAAGACTGCGAGCAGGTTCCTGGAAGTCCATGCCCACGCGAGGACCACCCAATCAAGGCCTGCGCTGCTGCCGTTGCCATGCAGCAGGCGCGCGGACGGCGGATGTGCTTATCGGAAAGCCGGTATCAGGCGTCACAGACTGGCCGGCTTCTTTTGGAGTGACAAAATATGTTCCCCAAAGGAGCGGCCATAGGTGTCCCTTTTAGTTGTTTTGCTAGAAAAATAGAGGGCGATTCCTAGTTTTCCCAGTGGTTCAATCATCTACCAGGGATATCCATCTATTTCCCCTCAAAGGACACCTATGGGAGCCCGGCTAGTTTCCGGAAATACAAATTGAAAGGGCTGAGCGCAGCTTCGAGGACGGCCAAAGTCAGAAGGCAAAAAGGGGGTGCCTTTGCACAATTGACCCATGGCCACATTAGATATTTGATATGTTGAGGAGAGCTCACTTATGTTGTTCAAAATGAGCGCACTATATGGTAAAGGTCCTTTTTTTGGGGGATCGGGATGTTTTTTCCACCACAACCAAAGCCCGGCTGCCGGGTAGTTGAAGGTTAGAAGTGGAGATAGGCCGCACCAGAAATGGACGCGGCTTTTTGCCCTTTTGATTCTGTAGCATGGGTTTCAAGTAGATCGTTTGACAGGTTAGTTGTGGCTCAGTTGGAGCCTTCCTTTGGAGTGCCCCCCAAAAAGGTGAATCAAAAGGAGCCTCGTGAAGAACAGCCTTGGAGCAAACCTCGGACCATGCCAACCGCACTCGCTAAGCAGCAAGTCGTGGACTGTTTGAGGGGAGGAGGCCAACCTCGTGAAGTGGTGGCTCAAAATTAATCAGGAGGGGCAAACCGCAGGGTTTGGTCCATGTTTCCACTTACCACGGTTCCATTTTGGGTACCGGTTTTTTGAGCCACAGCCAAGTGAGTGACCCAGTTTTGGCGTGTTGTGAGTCCTGTCCTTACTGTTGGGTCTGGTCATCTGGGAAGTCTGCCTGGGCTTGGCACCATGTGACAGTCAGGGTTGCTCCAAGCTAAGGCGGACCAACAGTGCAATGGAGCAATGGAGTCCCGCAATGCTGCAAGGGAACTACAAAAAGCCGTTGCTGGCGTGCTTGCAGCACTTGGGGAAACACTCGCTTCAAGCCTCTCCGCCTTCAACCTCCCCGCCCCCAACCTCCCCAACCCCACCGAACCAAAGCCTTCGGGGCCCCCACGCTCGACTCCCAGACTCGGAGTCCGAAGGCCTTGGGGCCTTTGAACCTGGAGATGTCGGAGTGCAGCCTGCCCTCCCTCTCGGTCCCTTGGAAGTGGGTGGCAAAAATTACGCATGGCGCCCGCACCTGACAAACCCCGGAAGGAGTTGATTCCCCAAAGTAAATACCAACCAAGAATGGTTTCCCATGGATCTAAAGCGCTTCCATTGGCTGAAATGAATATTTGTCAGTTTCCCTCCTGGTTGGTTTCTTAAAGGGAATCTAGCCCTGGGGGAAATATGTGTTGATATGTTTTCCAGGGGACTTAAGCAAATGGAAGTAGGTCTTAGTCTTTGGTTCTATTTACCAAGGTGCCATAATTTCAGAATATGCCTTCCCGTGCGGTGGAGTTTTGAACATCCATTCGAACCAAACTATGCTTTTCACTGCCGCCGCTCCATTGCACATTGTGTTGATTTCCACAGAGGCCGAAATGGGATGTTTGCTTTTAGACCGTATATTTGCCACTCAGATGCAAACATGGTGCCCGAGTGAAGAACGAATCTAAACCAGAACGAAAACGAGAGATTAACTCAAGGTGCATGACTGAAGGACTGCTTGTCACCCACATCCATGACTTGCACTTGCGAAGCCCATTTCAGAGTTATTTTTGCGAAACCCATCCACCAACACAAACATGGGAGGTTAAAGAGTCATGCCAGCCAACGCCAGGAGCTTATAGCCCGGTTGTTCAGTGGCACCCTGTTGCCCTTTGCGGTTGGCAGCTCCTTGAAGGGTTCCCTTCTTCAGTGAGGGTCACTGGGAAATTGGGGATGTGAAAGGCACAGATACTACTATTACTACTACTATCACTACTCTACCGCTACAACTACCACTACCTACCACTACCACTAATGCTACTGCTCCTGCTATTGGTCCTGCTGCTGCTGCTGCTACTGCCACTCCTACTTTTCCTACTACTGCTAATGATTTGAATCGTATGATAGTAAGGAGAGGCTGACTCGGCTGTCCCAGGTCCGCATCGGGATCAACAGCGGGCAGGTCCTCTCAGGAACCTTTGGCAGTGACAAGCGAGGGCCCCAGCTTGATGCGGACTTCGGAGCCGAAGAAGTGGGCATGGCTATCCCTGAGGTTGCTTATACCAAATGACCCCTTTCAGGACGATCCCTTAAGACATCTTAAGACCATCCAAAAAGGGGCCCCTATGTCATAGAGAAACATGGCTAAACGATGCAAATGGTTGGTGGACATCAATCCCTGAATGATGTCCACAAGCAGGCCACCAATTAAACAAGTCACACCCAAATGGGTTGAACCTGGAATCTGACAAATCTCCTGTGGGTTGCAAAGGGTTGAAAATGAAGGAGGGCATCAGCGCAAAGGCAAAACCTCAAGTGGCCAAAGGCCCGTAGATCTTCGCGTTGCTTTTTTGCTCGGTTGACGCACCTTTTCTTTGTTTGTTCCCGTACCTTTGCCTTTTCGTGTTTGGTTGAACCCATTTGGTGATTCCCTCCCAAAGGCTTTAAAGGGTACCCACCAAAAGAGTGCCCCATATTGCATGTGTTTACATCACCGCCCCAAAACCCTCCTGTACTTTGAGACACGCGTTTATTTTTGGCTGGGAGATTCCCTCAGTCTCTTTTTGGGTCACCATTTTGGCGAACAACAAGTGAGGGATTTGTGTTGGCGAATCCACTCACAACCGACCACAATCAACCATATCCAACCCTATGCCACCATGGCCAATAGCCAACTTGAGTTCCAACCCGGAGGAAGATGAAGTTCGGCTGCATGGGGGACCCCGTGAATCTCGCGAGCCGGCTGGAGGGCCTTTGCAAGGCCCTTCGGACAAGTCTCGGGAGGCCAAAGTGGGTGAGTTTCGGAGAGAAGTTTGAGAAAGTGGCAGTTTCAAACAATTCCGCTTATTTGGCCTATGGTGAGTTTGCCTTCCTAGGGCTGATGTTTCAAATGTAGAGATCTTTGGGGTGCTAGGAAGAAGGTTTTGGCCGTGTTGAGATCCCAGCTGAGGATCCTCTTGCGGTGAAAGTTTTCAAGGGACCCATGGTCCATTGCTGCGTGTTGAATTTGCACATGCCATCTTGGCAAGACTCACTGATAAACGGCTTTAAGCGCTGGTGGTTTCCAGGTGTTTTCCAAGCCCTGGGCAAATTGTATCGACCTCACAAAGCAGAGCGACATGAGGGTTCATGTTGTTGTTTTCTTTTCTTCTTTTTTATCCGAGAATGTTGTTTTGGAGATGTTTTGAGGTTCGGTCATTAAGCCACATGTCAATTTTGGGACATGGGGGCCACGAACATGTCACGACACGAGAAAGAACCACATGGACTCACAGATCCCTTTCGATGGGTTAAGGGGAGGAGAAGCGGTTTGTGGCTAAGATGGAGACCAACATGGCACACGGTAAATGGGACCAAAGACTAAAACCTGCGGTGCGGAACCCTGGCTCTTGAACATATTGATTGCCACACCCAAATGTTTCTAGAGAGGTTGCCCCTTGCTGGCTTGGTGGTTTGATCCTTTACCTACGATTGACTGAAATCACACCCAGCATCAGATTGAGAAATCCAGATTACCAGATTACTCACCACAGCGTCTCCTCTTTCCAACAACCATGGAAGTGGAAAAATATTTGTTTGAGGCTATTGAACATAATCAGGGGGTCCCAGACCTATCAGCCGCACATCTGGGTGCTCCCAGCCAGGTCTACGGCGTGGGGATCATTTGCGCAGGGCCGACCCATGTGCCTTGGATCCCATCCGGTGGATAGCCGCAGGCAAAACAAGACATGAGGCTCATAGGCCTCAGATTCCAGAGATGACTTTGGAGCATTTATTCCCCAGATCGCTGTTTGGGGGCGGTCTTCGGGGGCTGTTAGAGGTGGTTTTTCCGGCGTGCAATCATTGGCGTTTTTTTTTTGTGGCTGCTTGGAGTCTATGCTGGTGTAATGTATGATTCCAGAAAAGCGTGGATTTCCAGTACTTCCAGTTCCCATGAGAGGTGGCCAGGGGAAACCATCGTGTAAAACCCAGAGTAAAGGTACTTATATACTGTTCCATAATAGGCAACTAGAAGCAGTGGGCTTGAAATCCGTTTCCTCTCGGATTTCTCAGAATGAGCGATTTGTTGGTTTTGTTCCACAAAAGTGGTTCCTTCCACGGTTATTAGAATGCCCGAATAGGCAAACAATGGTTGGCTTCCTTCCTTGTTGTTTCCCTTTTCGGCACCATCAAACCTCGGGGTGTCCTTGTTTAAACCCGGGACGAGGTTAGGATATGTCATGCCTCCATTTCCCGGTGTACACTATAAGGTGGCACCAGTTTCACGAGCCCAAGGTGGAATTCCATGAACAGCAGATTTCCCCCAGGGAGGGGTGGGTTATGTTGGAGTTGATCCATCCATCCACGGGAGGGTTGGGTTATGTGATGGGTTAGGTTGGAGTTGATTTTCTTTCATCCATCCACGGCTCACCTTCCCGGGGTGTCTGGCCATCGCGGTGAGGCTCGGGAAATGTTCGATTTCTCCGGCCAGGATTGGATCGCGGACGCGGGGGGCTTCATCTGCCGCAAGCTGGACTTGGTCCAGGCCCCGCCCTCCGGCTGGCTTGTTTCGAGCGGTGGGACCTGCGTTTCGAGCAAGCTGGACAAGTGGCGCCGCATTCCACGGGTTTCTTTGTTGTTCGTTGCAAGACAAGTAGGTTACATACGCGTTGCCCCAAAAGCTCAGCCGGGTTTCAGGCGTTGTGTTGTTGCATGTTGTGTTCAATTGGGCGGTTGCGTGAAAAACTGGCTGGAACTTAGCAATAAATGGCTTTGAACCCTTGCCTGCGTGGAACGCTGCCCTGAGCACATGCCTTTCCCTTGGGGGGGACCGCTCAACCCAGGCGGTCTCTGGTGCGGCTGCAGGGGCGGAAGTCGGCTTGGCTGTTTGCACGCCATGGTCAATGTGGCTTTGATGGGAGCAGGAGAGGCTTGATCTGACTCAGTTGAAAACAGAAAGTGACCCATGTCGCAAAAGTTTGGCTGATAAGACGCATGATCATTTTGTAGTGGCTACCGTGGGGAAGATATTCTGTTTATTTACCACAACTTGACTATTCTATGATGAGTGTTTCTTTCATTTTTTTGTTCGAGGCCCAGCTACATCACATGGCCACCGTTTGGAGTCATAAACGTTACAAGCACAGCAAAAACCCCCCACTGAGGTTCATAACCCCATGGCCCAAGCCTCCGGCTGAAGCAGCCGGGACTAAGCGAGCGCAGGTGAAGGGCCGTCAGGAGGCCGTCACCGTCTACGAGATCATGGGCTGCGACTTCAACAACGTAGGCCTCGGGGAACTTCCATTTGGTGAAGAATATTTTTTGGTATTTTTTTCCTGGTGGTTTTAAAGGGAATCTATCACTACTGGATAAATTTTGATTAATTTCCAGGAAGCTTAATGGAAGGTAACTTTTTTTTCCAAGTTTCCGCCAGGCCCTTGACCCGGAAGAGTAATCGGTTGGAAGAGTGGACAGGGAACCAGGGACCTGATTGAGGCCTCGCAGTTGAACCAACCACTGGG